TAGATTGACGTGTTCCTGTAATTTAGTGTTAATATTGTAGCGCATATTAAATAATAAAATATATTTAAAAAAAATATATTAAAATATATAAAAAAAAAAAATGTAATAAATATATTGAAAAAAAATATAGTAAAAATAATATATTAAAATTTATAAAAATATATTTAACACAAAATACATTAAAAATAATATATTAAAATATATTAAATAATATATTAAAAAATAAAACCATAAATGTGAGTTCCATCAATCTAATGTTAATACCCAACCACATAGACACACAAATATACATACACATACATATATCTTTCTCTTTGCAACAATGGAAGAAAAGTGCATTGGCGAGAGCGCATAATCGCTTTAACGCGTTCATCCACTTTTTTTTTATATTCTTCTTCCCTTTCTCTCTTTTGTTCTCTTTCTCTCTCTCTCTCTCTCTCTCTATCTCTCTCTAATTCATATAACAACGCACATGGGAGGAAATAGGTACAGCCTGTCGTTTACCATCCCTTCTATCCCATGAAACATGTGTCTCGCAGTCACCGAGGCAAATAATAATTCGAAAATATGTCGTCAATCTTTCTCTCTCTCTCTCACTCTTTTTCTATCTATTTATCTATCTATCTATTTCTCTCTCTCTCTCTCTCTCTCTCTCTCACTCTCTCTTTAACTCTTGTTGCATTATTATAGCAAACCAACCTCCTCCTGGTTGCTAGAAGAGTGAGGTTATGTGTGTGCATTAATGTCGCACGTAGTTGTAATAACCGCAAAAGCAGCACCCAAACCCCAACCACCATTATAAATGCATTAACTCTATTTCTCGAGCGTGTCCTCCCCCCTCCTCCTTCCCTTCCCAACACCCCTCTCCTCTCCTCTCCTCTCCTCTCCTTTCTTTGACGATTATTTTCCGTCATTTTTCATCGCTTAGGTTAGATGTTGTAGTTGTTTTGTGGTATAGTGTCTCGTGTATGCTTGAACATAAGTAACGTGTAGAATTAAAATTATTTTGTATTTTTTTGTTTTTTTTTTTGAGGTTAGGTAGACAGAAATTATTTTATTAAAAAATTGTTCGTTAAATTTAATCTTCTTTTGACATTTTAGTAACAATAGCATAATCAAAATATTGTTTAAATTCTAATTAAAACATTTTTGTGCAATATTGATTGATTTAATGAAATTTGTTGCATGAATTTTTAGCAAACTTTTTCACACTAATCTGAAAAACGAAATTTTTCTATCATCTGTACTTTTAAATCGTCAATTGCAATCTCTTTTTTTTTCAAAAATGTATTGACAACAACAATAAAAAAGTTATTTTTTCAACAACAAACAATAGTACACACACACACACACATAGAAAAACACTGTATAAAATGAACTTATTAACCTAACCTAACCTAACCTAACCTAAAATCTTTGTAGGATTCGATAATCGCTGAAGAACACAATTTCCCATAGGTGGGGGATTTCATTGGTTTGAAAAAAAGGAATAAGAACAAGTAAAGGGCCCCATAACCTTCAACCCACCCCACCCGAAAAGTCAAAGTCAAAGATCATTAAGCCCTACGATGGAAAGGAAGGATCGTTACACTTTCTTTGACCAAACCCGGGAGGTGAGATAGGGGACCATCAAACACCTTTTGCCCCCACCTCACATTTTTTCTCTCTCTTTTCAACTCTTTCTAGACTTTTACTCGTTTCCCCTGCCCCCTCCTTGATCGTAGCCCTTAAGTTGGTTTCATTTTGGTCCGAACAAGATCGAGCATCCCTTTTTCCAAGGAACCCGACATCTCGAACGATAAATCAATGACTTAGGTTAGTCTCTTTTCTATGGGGTCCTAGTGCCTTTTTTCCCCTGTGACCTGTCTTACTTCCCTTCAGAATAATCGTCCTAAGGGTTCTTTTTTTTTGGACAAGAGAGTATGGCAATTAAGAATGTTTTAGAATAGTAATAGTTGCACTCGAAATGACCGAAGGTAACCAACCAACCCCTTCATCTTTAATACTACAACAACTAATAACAACAACAACAACAATAAGGGAATATAAAAATAGGGGTGGGGGGTATTAAAAAACATTACTCATCAGATAATCGTGCAAGCGGTGGTTTTCAATTGCAATTCTATGCATCTCTCTCTCTCTCTCTCCCTCTCCCTCTCTCTCTCTCTCTCACTCTCATTCAGTGCTCTCAAAAGTGTCGGGAGAAAAATGAGAAATGATCCAACAGTGGCTCGATTCAGAAACGTGGAGGGAGAGGGGGGTCCCTGTTTAAAATTCATGAACGATTTTACTGCTATCTCCTCCTCCCCTTCTTCCACCAACCAACCCCACTCCACCCTACGAGCCTATCGTCGACGGGTGACTCTCGTCGACAAATAAAAAAAAAAAATGCTCCGAGAGAACCGGGAGAGGTGGCCCACATTTTCAATCCTGACGCAATGTAACACAAACGCGCACGTGTTTGCAACCACCTATAAAACCTCCTATGCGAAAAAGAGGGGCGAGGAGAGGAGTGGAGTGGAGAGGAGTGTTACTGAGTGTTCAACGAATATATTAATTGTCGAATTTTCCGTGCGAGTTGCATATCCGTTAGAGCCGCTTTGTGTACCCCCTCACCCCTGTCCATTCCACCAACGTATACCACGCCCGAATCTCATTCGCTGATTATTAATTACTACGAACAACGAAAAGCTAGAAGGTTTTCAAATACCCCCAACTTTCCCAACCCAACCCAATCCAACTCAATCCAATGCCATCCGACACAACACGTCTCTCTTGCTGGTGTTATTTTTTTCTTCTTTGTTTTTTAAATTGTTTCTTTTTAATATTTTTTTATTTTCTTTTATTTTCTTTCTTTATTTTTGTTCTCTTTTCTCGTCGCACATCGAGACTCAAAACAAATTTTTATTCTCTCTCCTTTTCTTTCTTTTATTTTATTTTATTTAGTTTTATGTCATTTGGCTGAATTCCCGTTAGGATAGGAATCAGGATCAAAAGAGAGAGAAAAAGTGGCGTTGAGGAGGGGGGGAGGAATATAAAAATTATAACGAAGCGTAGGTAAATGAATGTACACCTACTATCCGATGCGACGGGATTTAATTATCGTCGAATTTTATATGTATGTATATGTGTGTGTCTGTAGTTGTATGAGTGAGATAGACAATTCGAGAAATTTGCAACCAAACCACGAAACAGTCACTGATTTATCGTTGGCAAGAGAAAGAATCAGGAAGTTCGAACAGTACACCATGATTCATCGGAAAACTCGCAAAACTTCGTTGATGAAAACGAAATTACATTTATTTGTTCATTTTGCTTTCTTCTTCTTCTTCTTCTTCTGTTTTCTCTCGCACCTTTTGTTTATGGAACATTGTCAACGATAAAGAAAAAAAAAACAGAAAGGGATGACGGGGTAAGAATTGCAAAATAGGAAAGAAAATCGCTGTACAAGAGTCTCGTGTAAAGAACACGTACAAAAGGGAAAGGGTTTTAGGGTAATATTCCCTGTAGATTCGAGAATATTACTTTAACGTTGAGGTAGGGGGTAGTAAAGGTAGGTGGGGGTTAAATAGAGTCTCTCACCCTTTCTATCTCTTTATCGTTTCATCTCACTTTCTCACACCCCTTGACCAAACGCGAGCCTTTTTCGAAACTCAAACGTTAGTTTGATATATACACATGTGTTTGTGTATACATATATATAGAAGGTCTTTCTCACTGTCATTGTCTCTATCTTTGTCTTTTGAAAGTAGCAAGGGTAGTTTCGCAGGTGTAGCAACGCTATTAAACGTGTGTATGCGTGGCATGATACGCGATGATTAGGCACTGAACTCCATGGGCTATTTGTTAGTATAATAAGCCCTCTCTCCAGCAGTGTGGCCAACGTAACCGCTTGCCGGCACGCCAGCCCGTTTTAGCGTAATTGTCCCAGATCGGGATTTACATACTCGAAGAGGGTGGAAGCGCGTTAGTGGTGTTAGTGTTGGTGTTAGTGGTGCTTCATAGTTGTTTGTTGTTGTTGTAATAGTGGTAGTGGTTGGTAGTCATAGGTAAGAGTGAAACGACAAAGGGTATGAGAGAGAAAGAAAGGAAATTGCTTAGAATGTCGTGATTGCTTTTAGAATGCTTTCTCTTTCTTATGTTTTACTACCCTATTCTCTTTTCTCTTTTCTCACCACCCTCACACCCCTTTCTTCTCTTTTCTTCTCTTTTTGTTCTATCGGTATCAAAAACGATTCTTATGCTAAATACCACCGTCCGACAAATCACCACTGGGGGGATATTATCTTACGGTAGTTCGAATTTTCGAAAAAGGTCGTGCAAGATTAGAGACTACTACTACAACTTGAGATATATTCCTACTTATAAGCCACTTTGTTGCCAGTCGATTTCAAGTAGAGACATAAAAAAGGACGCTTTTTGTTAGTACAGTTATTGATTCGTTATTATGTTTTATATTATTAATTTGAAATGATGATCTAAATTCAATTGTTAATTGAAATTGTCCAACATATAACTAAGATCAAATATTTGGTTTATCCAATTTAATTGGATTCCATAATTAAAATAGAATACATAAAATAATAATGCATGAAAAGGTAGAAAAAGTAAGGTTAGTTGTGTCAAGTGTAACTCTGAAAAAAAACGTAAAATAATTGAATTATGATGCAGCACCATCTGTCGACAATTTATAGAACTTGAAAACCAAGAAAACCTCTAAGTAATTAAGTTCTTAAATTAGCAATAAGAAATAACAAATAAAAATTATTCCATATTCTAAGTTTAAAAAAAAAATCATACAAAATAAATAAAAACTTAATTAATAAATTAAATAAATAATATTAATAAATAAAATTATATAATTTCATTAAGATCAGTTCAGTAGTTTCAAAGTTCATTAGAAAACAAACAATGTGACACTGAAATTTAATATATAAAAATTCATTTCTATTAGAATTTCTTTTTATCTAATCATTTGTCAATGAAATATTATGTTACAGAACAAAATGGAAGAGACAAACGATGGTCGGTTTTGAAATAATGGCTGAAAGTAATTACGCAGTAGCCGCATTCCAACAATTTTATGGAAGTGGTGCTGGTGCAGCGGTACCAACCCATCCTGCAGCAGGAAGATATTTTCCTTACGCTACGGGTCATCATTTACCATCGAATCAATTGTTTTATCAACAAGCAACTGCAGCTGTTACATTGCAAAAACCATTACCATACAGACTTTATCCACCTACCATGATCCTAGCTGGACCAAGTGCTGGACCATTTGGTTCGCTTGCTGCCAGCTCGAGTTTATCAAGTTTGAGCAATTATTACAGAGATAGTCCTGATATGGTTGACGATAGGGATAGGGAAAGTAGAAAGGATAGGAAGGATAGGGAAACAATGCAAAGGGATAGAAGTAGAAGTCGGGAAGGTTCACCAATTAGGAGAGATGATACTCCTGAAAGTATAAAAGCTGATAGCGATGAAGAAAGTATACACGATATTTAGGACATAAATCATACGATCTATGATTAATACTATAGATCAAAATGATTATTTCGTAATTAATAATAGATATTTATAAGATAATAAGATTATCACAAATCTTCCGAGATATATATATAGCATATTTCCCTACGATGAGATTTATGAGTCAACGATTGAAAAATAATAATAACAACAATTTATTTATCGTTATTAATAATTTTTTTCGCAACTCGATACATTCCGTTTGTTTTTTAGAATTGTATGGGGGTGAAAAAAAATGATAAAATTCGAATTATTATGACGACTATGACTATGACGAATGAGTACTTTAATTAGAACAAAATGTTCAAGAAAATATTTATTTATATATATATATATATATATATATATATATATATACATAGATGTATAATCGTTTTATCTAATGACGATTATCTTTTGAGATACAAATCAATGAAAATGAAATATAAAACAAGAGGTATTGTAAAACAAAATTCTTAAATATTAGGTGTAGAGCTTTGTTTCGGTTATTTTCCTACAGATGGCTTGTAGAAAAAATGGCGGGAACAAAATCGTATGCCTAAAAAAACCTAAGAAAAAAAAATGTGAAATGTGAAATGTGAAATAAATTATTTAAATTAATAACAAAATACGAGATTATTTTTCGTTGATTATCTCAATTATAAACAATTGAAATATTTTCTAAAAAATTACAATTACCGATTTGATTTATAAATATAACTTTGTTTCCGTTATTTTCCTACAGATGGCTTGTAGAAAAAATGGCGGGAACATAGTCGTAAAAAGGATGGAATAAAAAGAAGAAGTGGAAGATAAAAAGATGAGATTCTCGTCGAACTATTTTATTTCGAAAATAACCGATCGTCCACGAACGCGAATCTACAATTTATATGACATTAGGAAAAGAAATAATACTTAACCTTGCAAGATAGAAGGGATACCAAAATGACACGAAATTACATATAAATGATCGTCGAATGATAGGAAAAAAAGAAAGAAAAAAAAGAAAGGAAGAATGAAAAAATAAATAAAAAGGTAATATGAAAGGTTGGTGAGATAATTCGGAAATATATATATATATGTGTATATGTTTCTGATGTTGAAAACCGGATAATAGTTTGATCCTATTTCTTGAAGTTTTATTTTCTATTTTTTGTTCTTTTTTATTTGTTATTTTTTTTTTTAAGTTGAAAATCGACAAAAGATGATTTCATCTTTTAAATAGATAATAAGGGAAGGAAAAAAACATAAATGATACTTGAGTTATACGTCGTCGATTAACCAATCGAAGAAATTTTGAAATATCAGTGTAATAAGTATATATATATATATATATATATATATATATATTTAATTAACAATAAGTGATAACGGATTAATTGTGCTGAACGTTCGAAGATTTTATTGTAAATATACGTGAAATAAGTAATACAAATTTTTAAGTTAAATTCATCGGATTATTAATACTTTAACTTAATAATAAAAAATAATAATAACAAAATAATTAAATTATCTTGTAAATATTGAAGTAAATCGTAAAAGTAAAGGAAAAAAAAAAGAATGAAATAAAACAAGGAGAAAATGATCAATTTCATTTTTTCAAATAACAATTGTAATCTTATTTTAGATTGTAAGTTAAATGGGAAAATAGATAAAAAGAGAGAGAGATAGAGAGAAAGAGAGATAGAAATGTGAATTAGGGTAAAACGCATCGTGAAATTTTCAACCTTTCAGCATAAATAAATTAATTAAATATTAATTAATTATTAAAGAACAGTCCAGAGATTTGCATAATTAAAAAAAAAACCCAAAAATAAAAAGATTTATTGTAAATTAATTCGAATTTTGCCATAAAATTATTTTTTGTCTAACCTCCATATTTTTTTTCTATTTATACTTAAAAAAAAAAATTATCAACCTCAATTTCCAGTATCATTGTCGTATGTGTAATTCTATTTATTTAATTTTTTATTTGAAAAAAAAAACACACACACACACACACATGAAAAGGACACGATGCGTTTGATTGAAAAAATTCGAATGATAAGAAAAAAGAAAAAAAGAATTAAATAAAAAAAAAAGGAAAAGAAAAAAAATAAACAATCTCGAAATAAACCACAGTATTATGAATGTATAAATATTAGGACAGTAACGAAAAGAATTAAATAAAAAAAAAATAAAATAAAATGAAAAAAAAAAATTAACCACTGTGTTATAACCGAGAATAAAATGGTGTGTTAGAAAGAAAAAAAAAAACAAGGGAAAAAAAATAAACAAAAAACACACAAACACATGTAATAAGAATAAGAAATAAGAGGAGTAATAAAAAAAAAAAAAAGAAAAAATGAAAAAAAAAGCCAAGAAGAAGAAACTAAAGACGATTGTGGATGGGGTAAAATAAAATAAAAAATAAAAAAAAAATCCCTAGCATTTGCGAAATAAAATCCCCAAGTATATCGTAGCGAGTACACGATTACACAAAATAAAAAGAAAGAAAAAGAGAAAGAGCGAGAGAGAAAGAAACACATACACACATACACACATGAGAATATACATACACGAATTAGTAATAATAAATCATGCTTTGTAAAATATTGTCTGTATAGCGAGAATTATTATATGGAAAATATATTATACTAAATTTAAACGTCACATTTCGTGAGCCACCGCCCCCCACTCCACCTCAACGATACCAACCAACCCCCACCACTATTCTTCTTCTCAATACCTTTAACCTAAAAATTATTCATTGCTACATGTTCAAGTATTTATCTTTAAATATGAAATTATCTTTAAATCGACACATATATTATTTTATAAGCTTAATTTTACTTGTTTTTCTCAAGGACACACCAAGAATACTAAGGAGGAGTAAGAAAAAAAAAATAAAAATTAAATTTTAAGTTATGAGCGTGTTTTCAACTGTACTACTTCAACTGTACGGACTGTTGATACGTGCAGAATCAAAACTATACTTTATTTTTGAGTAATTTTGTTGATTTTTAATTGAAAGAAACAAAAACATTAAAATTAGAGACCCATAATGAAATATTTGATGTACTATAACTGCATATGTTCGTCGTATGCAGCCGGTTGCAACTTATTGCCCATTCTACTTTCTTATTTGAGCATCACTTCATTAACTATACCACCAAATTCAAAAATAATTTGAAATAAAATTTAGCTTTAAGTATGGTCAAATCATTGTTTATAATAATAATAGTATGTGTGAAAACACTAGTGATTTGTACATAACCTCCAAAATCTCAATAATTAAAAATTAAATTATTGTAACTACAACTAAAGAGTTTACTGCTAAAGTCAATTGAATTGGTATTACTTCAGAATTGAATGATAAAATAAACTCCCAATTTTTTAGCTTTGAATGACAACCCGCTAGTTGTATGTAAAATACGCGACATTTTATAGAGGGCCAATATAGTGGCCCATAGTATATCAGTAGCATCTTATGAAGGGCTACTAAAGTGGCCCATAGTATCAAAAAGGTTCAATATATAGAAACAAAACAAAAAGTTTGTATAATAATAATAAGAATAGCATTAATATTATCACATGATCCGGCTTAATTATTTCTTTTCTCAAGGACACACCGACAACACCAAGGAACAATAAGAAGAAAAATGAAAATATATATATTTAAAAAAAAAGGTTTGTAGTAGTAATAGTAGTAGTAACACAGTGCTCGAGGCGTAATCGTGTTTGCTTATTTCCGGCGTTGGTCAAGCAAACCCAGCAAACCCAGCAAACCCAGTAAGCAAGCGGACGGTGCAATTATGTCGGCGCGTTCTCTCGGCTTCTGCACAAGAAAGAGGAAGGGCTTATTTTATTCCTATTAGGGTAAAACGAGTAGCAGGACGGGACGGGACGGGACGGGATGGGACCGGTGACTTACACACACTTCGTGTCAGTTAGTTAGTATGCGTGTAGCCCCAATTACGTGAAATTAATTTGGGTCCCATTAGCGGTCAGCCGTTGGGGCCTGACACACTAACGATTTTTACCCGACGGACTAAAAAAAAATGGGGCCCGTTGGTTAAGTTTAAACTTTACAATTATAAAACATGCGACTACTCTTGAACAAATTGTTTCCTTTCACGAACGAAGATTTGATCTAACTATTGGTAAGTCAGTAATAAATTCCCTAAAAATTGGGGTTTTTATTCTATGGGTAAATTATGTTGATTAATCATTGTATCAATCGTTTGAGATTTATTATGGCATTGAGTATGACTCGACATTCATTTTTATTTTGTTTTTCTTATTAACCTAAAAATTGTGATTGCTATAACTGTCGTGTTTTATTTTATCAGAGTAAGTGAGTGAGAAAAAGTGAAAGAAAAGAAAACACGTGACCGATCGATCAAACACTTCTATTACTTTTTAATCCGACGAGAATTACGAGAATACCAATCTGTCAAATGATCAAACATTATTATTATTAATGCTTACTACCATTTCTCTCGTTATAGACACGTCTACGTCAAAATACACTTTGCATAATTAAAGGTTATGTGTATTACGATAACCTGTAGGTCTTTTATTAACCATAAAACGTTCAACAAAATCTTTGATCTTATTTTATTCACGTAACTATATAAAAAGAAATATATATATATATATATAAACTGTGCTCCGTCACGTGTTACTGTAGCTCAAAAAAAACCCAAAGTATGACGTTGTTCTATAAATAAATGTTAGGTTATGTTCAAATGTTTCGTACACTCACCGAAATCTATGACCAATAGATGGCACTGAAATTACTTGAATCTCTCGTTCCTTTTTCTTTTAATTAATTAATTATTTTATAAATAAATTAACGTAATAAAAACATACCTGCATGTGAATGCAACTTTGTGTCATATATATATATATTTGTGTATAATGCATTGTACCGTATCACGAAGTTTAGTTCCGGTGAGTCTCTTTTGTCACCAATTTCAGGATGTGCAGAAGCCCAGCAAAAGCTCGATTTGACCATGGGTTAACCACATCCTCTTTACTACCATCACCATAACCACCACTACCATTAACATCAGCACATC